TGATGTGTTTATGCTTAAACAATCAATTCCCTGTCTTCATATTTGTTGTGTTTTCTAAATTTCTAAATTTTTGTTTTGTTTTGTAAATTTTTATTTAATTATTAGGAAAAAAATCATGTGGATGCTCAACAACCCTTGGTGGCTAAAATATATACAAATAATAAAACACATGAGATTTAAAAAAAATCCTCTTTCATCTACCACCTCAATCCTGGTGGACCTTACAGCAAATAAATGACCAGCCTTTTCCAGTGGTTCTCTCTGTGCTCCCTATGGTGGTAGACCTCTGTTGTCTTCAAAATTCCTAATGGCGACCTTCCAGTAACTGCATTTTGGTTTTTCCCCCCAAATATGGCACATATTGTTATGATGGGATGCCAGGAGACAAACTGAGTCAAGCACCATTTCCAATGAGAGCAGAGATCATCCCTTGAAATACAGAGAGGAAGACCAATCTCTTTCAGAAATGCTACTTGCTGACTTGAAATAGCATTTCCCCATTCATGGAGATGACATCATTATTGTGAGGACAAAATTATTTTCTGCTTATCTTTTCACAATATTCTTTTGACTTGTCTGAGATTCTGCTTGATTTATAAAGAGAGGAATTTCCATAGTTGTCCAGGGCTCTCTTTGCTTCTGGTTTTCTGTAAGTTTTTGTAAACATGTTTTATATTCAGAAATTTATTAGGCCAGTCAACCTAATGATCCTCATTTTCTCATGATTACTTGTGCCCACAAAATCATTTTTAATTTTATATTTTTTATCAATATTTTATTTATTGTATTTTGGGTTATTGTTTCATGTTAAAATAATTTAGCATATACAATTAAGCATGCTAGAGTTAAAAATCCAGTTTAAAGACCTTTTAAAATATTATTTAAAAATTTATTTCCAACATAATATTTCACAAATGTTTTAAGCATAAAATTTATTGATTGATGCTTTATGCTCCTCAGGCAATCAAACAAAATGTTCCTTGGTACATATTCAATATGACATCTTTTAAAAGAAGATAGTTTTTTTCACAGTTTTGATACATCGTATCAAAAGACAAAATACTTTTGAAAAATGGCTTTCCATCCCAGATGCAACTATTTGGCACTCACTCATGTGGGACACAATATAAACATTCTTTAGACATAGTTAAATGGTAGAACTCATTGTGCAAGAATAGGGATCTATACATTCATTACTGCATTTGTATTATAAAAAGCGGACACCATCTATTTTTCATCTGCTGGAAAATAGTCCAAACTGTTATCAGCCATGTCACAGTTTTACCCCTCAAAGTAAAACCAAATGGATTGAGGTTCCCTCCTGTAATCTTTATTTGTTACTTTTATATTTTATAGGCCTAGCTACCTATTGCATTGAGGGGATTCAGAATACTAGTTCGTCCTGAGTTCTACAGGTAGTCCTTGACTTATGGCCAGTTGCAGTGTCCCACAGTCATATGATTGTGTGTTATGGCAATTTTGCCCCAAACTGGCACTTACTGTGTTTCTCCAAAAATAAGACCTGGTCTTATTTTATTTTTTTTAAAAAATTGCCTCCCAAAAAGGAACCAGGTCTTATTTTCGGTGGGGGTGTCTTTTGCACTCACCTCCAGCACTGACAGCACCGCCCAGCCGGCCCACTTCTTCTGCGGCCGAAGGAGCAGCTTCATTCTGCAGCTGAGAATGGAGCTCCGCCTTGCATTTCTCAGTCAGAGATCTTTTCGGAAGGCCTACGCAGTCAAGAATCGAGCTATGGATTGAATCCATAGCTCAGTACTCAACTACAGAGGCTTTCCGGAAAGACTATAAAATGCAGGCCAGAGCTTCATTCTCAGCTACAGAATGAAGCTGCCCTTCGGACGTAGAAGTGGGCCGGTGAGGCAAGTGTCGATCCATGGGAGGCCTGGCTGCAATGGTAAGCTCCAATCCCCTACCTCCACCCTAGCTTGATTTTTAGGCCCAAAACTAGGGCTTATTTTTGGGGTAGGACATATTAGGCCTATCCCCCAAAATCAAGCTAGGGCTTACTTTTGGGGAAACACGGTACTTCCAGTTTTCAGCAAAATCAGCCCATAGAAAACCATTGGTTTCCTTAATGACCGTTGCATTCGCTTAACGATGTTTACAAAAGACATAAAATCAGGTCAGTCACATGACCTACCCTTTTTACAATCATTATGACATACGACAGTAATGGTCAAGTCTCTATTACAGTCATAAGTCAAGGGTTACATCTATTACAGGATATGTGATACCCTGCTGATTTTTGTCCCTAAAAATAGAAACATTTTGCACAGCAATGTAGTAAGGAAAATTATGGAAAAGGTGTAACTGTAGAAAACCAGAACAATGGCAAAATTTTGATGTATACCTGAGGAAAGGTTCTATCAGAGGTGAGCAAGAAGATGTACAAAAAGACTCCATGCTAATTCTATTTTAATATCTCTTATGTTTAAAAGTATTTATAGTTAAGATTTATAGATTTTTTAAAAAAATTATGAACAAAGCAACTCTGCTATGTTACATTAAAATTGGTATGCTAAATATAAGAAAAAAAAATTCTTGAAAGTAAGTGATACAGATATTAAACAGACAGTAATGTAGCTGCTTCCTTGAACCCCTTTGAAATCTATTCTTTAAAAGAAATAACAGCAAGCACAGAGAAATGCAGTGTTGACATGTTGGATTGAGCAACTCTGTGTCTGAAGAAAACTCTTGATTGATTTAGCAGTTCCAGAACTAATCCCTAGAAGTTGTAATGGCTATTGCAGTTCAACAATTAAGAGAAGACCTGCTTGGAAAGACTAAGATAAATCAATGTACTTAAAGGAGTTCTTTATTTTCAGCAAATAAAGCTCATTATTCATTCATTTATTTTATTTATATAGCCACCCATCTCAGAAAATGTGACTTTATTCCTATATTCATTGAGCTTGGCATTTATTCCTTAGTACATATTTATATAATTAAGCTTTACGTTCCAAAATGAATAGGATATCTGAGCTCTCATTTTTCTTCAACGGGTTCAGTTCAACTTTACAAGCTGCTTTATTTGCCCAACAGAAAAGTAGAGTGCAAATATATTCCCCACATTATACGAGTTCTCTAGGTCAAAATCATGTTTTGACTATGTCTGTTGACTGAGTGATGATCAGAAGCATTTGTCATCATCTGTGACAGCAAAGGAAGTCACAAAATGAATGAGGTTAAATACCAGCACCTGGTTTTTTTTAATGTGAACATAGAACAATAGATTACAATGTACATTTTCTTTCCCTTTGTAGCTGAGACATTAATAATTTAAATCATGTTCCCATTTTGCCCTTAGCATATTGTGGCCCCACATTATGTAGCTTTGGGTAGATCTGTATAGCTTTCGGGTGCTCAAAATCTGTTAAATCCCTGTGGACACGCTATTCCTCCTCCTGCTGGCCCTGCAGCAGTTGATAATTACCTAACATAAATGAGGCTGGGAATTCCTATTACGGTTTCCAGGATTATACATCGACTCCAGATTAACAATCTTTGTTTTCATGGTTCCTTGATCTTGCCCAGCTGCATGGAATTTGACAGCAATTTCTGTTTGAGAGGTGACTACAGCATTCCCTTCCAGCAACATCTGTTGAGCGAAATCTATCTTTTCTTCTTTCTCAAATACAGTAATTTTGATTTCTCATATCCTAATTAGATTGCGTGAACTGTTATCACCCTCCCCCAGAATTCACCTAGCTTAATCAAAACATGTGAAAATCATTAGCAAGGTAACCCTACTACCGGCCCACAGGTATAGCATTATTGAGTCCCAATCTCTTTTCTTCACTGTTTATGTTAATCATGTGCTATTGATGTCTCTCCCTTTCTATTAGTAATATATTAATGCCTCAACTTACTCTTTCTCTTTACTCCCAGAATTTATATCCCCTCCTGCTACAGTTAGTTTCAAACATGTGTCAAGGGGTGCCCTCTTTAAGCAAGTCCAATCGAATGTCCAAGAATTACGATTCTTCCAAGCATTTTTTCGCCTCCGCTAACTGATAATGATGATGAAGTTATCCATTCATTCATGTCTGACTCTTGATGATTCTGTGGGCCAGGTCTTTCCACATCTTCTGATTTTGCACTACTTTTTTGAGTTATTTTATGCTCAGGCTGGTGTCAGTTTTGATGGTGCTCTGCCAATTAGCATGTAGTAATCCTCAGATAAAATTATTCGGTATTTATTATATGCATGTACGTTTTATGAACAGATCTCTGTGCTTTGAACTTCTTGTGCTCTGTACTGACCAGTGGGATTTTTAAAAAGACAATTGGCTTGTCAAATAATTCACTGGCACAAATGGTAATGCATGTTCAGGCTACAAATACCATGTCACATGGTTTCACATAGTTGGAAGAAAAATATAGCTTAGCTCAAACGATGTGTGTTCTTAATGTGTTCTGTATAGGCAGTAGAAAAAGAAAAATTCTTTCCTTTCTCATCAGTTCAACAGAATATGACAGTTCTAATGTCAAAAGCAGAGTTAATACTCTAAAATGACCTGTATGTATAAATATTAATGTGTACAAGCCCAGCTCACATGATTGGTCCTTGGATTAAATGTTATGCACCAAGCCTTTATTCAAATGTTTGAAAAAAGGATTGCTACTACAAGTCATAAAGCCACTTAAATATTTGTGGTACTCATTTGTAAATTTACATAACATTTATAATGTAATCCAAAATATAAAACTCTTAGTTTGCAGTTTTGTCCATATGACTTAGCATGGGATGGCAATATCTATTTAGTATCAAACATCTTTGGAAAAAATAAATCCACACATAGCCTACAGGATTATTGTCCCATCAAAAAGGGGAGGAAACAGAAAACCAGAGGAAAGAAGGAAAATGCCACTGATTGGTTAAAACGATAACACTTCAGGCTCCCCGTTGTATGTGAATTTATTTTAAAACAGGATGCAAGAGCCTATTCTCAGACATATTCTTTCTGTTCTCCTTCCAGATAAACGTGTTGACAACTGGCCTATGATGCAATCTCCTTTTCCAACCTTGATAATAGGCACATTTTACCTCCTCGCTGTTTGGCTTGGGCCGAAATGGATGAAGACAAGGGAGCCTTTCCAGTTTCGCTATTTGTTGATTTTTTACAACTTTGGAATGGTCCTACTTAACTTCTATATTTTCAAAGAGGTATTTCTGCTTTAATGCTGTTCATGGATAAGATAGGCCAGTAATGCACATACAGATATATAAAGATAGCTACATATATGTCTGATCTTCTTCTTCTTCTCCTCCTCCTCCTCCTCCTCCTCCTCCTCCTCCTCCTTCTTCTTCTTCTTCCTTCTTCTTCTTCCTTCTTCTTCTTTCTTCTTTCTTCTTTCTTCTTTCTTCTTCAGTCAGTTCCACTGAGTACAATATGTCTAATTGCAAGGGGCTTATATTTAGGACTATAGCCAGATTTGCTATAAGTAGTTCTCAACTTATGACCTATTGCTTAATCACCATACAAAATTCCAATGGACATACCTAGGGGACACTTACATGGATCTGAAGTTCTGATGTGCTCCCCACACACGATCATGTTACCGTAGTTCAGGCAGTTGGCTACTAAGCCACATTTACAGTCACTTACAGCATTCCTCAGTCACATGACTGCATATTACAACAGTTTTGCTGAAAAATAGCATTTACTTCCATTTTTGGCAAAACCATGCCCATAGCAAACCTTTGGTTCTCACTTAATGACCACAGCGTTCACTTAATGATTACTGCAAAAAAGATAATAAAAATCACATCATTCACATGACTGACCCACTTTACAACCATCATAAATTTTGGTTAGGATGAGCAGGCTCCATTACAGTCATAACTCGAGGACAACCTATACTTGTGACCAGTGGTGGGATTCAAATATGTGAACAACCGGTTCTCTGTGTGAATGCCACTTCCGGAAGTCCATTCTGGGCCTGGGCAACAAAAAACTAGCTACCGGTTCTGCCAAACTGGTGCAAACTGGCTAAATCCCACCACTGCTTGTGAGTCATTATTTCAGATGAAAATACAAATATTTGGACAGGTGGATGTCTCTGCAGTCAGTTATTGATTTCATTGAAATTGTTGGGTTGAATGCAGGAGTGTGCAGACTTGAAGTTTGTGAACTGTCTTCTTACTGCAGAGGACAATATTACAGTAAATTCTTTCAATAACACCCATTCGAAACTCAGGAGCATGCATGAATTATTTAGCACCACCAATTATGTTAAGTCATGGTTTTAGCTTAGCACAGTTACATGAAATAAACCATAAATTATGATAAACTAGAATTATATGAGAATTAATTTCCTAAGGTTCCATCAACAAACCCTGGTTGAGGGTAACAAAATATAGTGTGTAGTATCAGATCTGCAACAATATTCCAGCAGTATTTTTATTTGGTACATTTTTATACCAAAGCACAGTATAAGCAGACAGTGCTTGTAACTGCATCTTGTAGAGTAGGCAAAAGCATAACAAATTTGTCTTCACTTGGAACCAGACAACCTGAGACATCTACCTGAAGAACAAGTGGCTATGGCTGTCTCAGCACTCCGTTTTCTACCAGCTGAGCAGGCAAATCTAGGGCTGCTCTTAGTCTTCAACATTAAAAAAAAATCCTGCCTGACTCTTGAAAGAAATATTAGATAATTAAATGTTTAGATAATTAGATGTTCATCATGGGGTGTGTGTTTTTTTTAAATGAAGTGATAAACAATCATTTTGGAATGTTAGTATCAATTTTTGGTGAAGTTTTTTTTGTCTTTCTTCTTTTCTTTTTTCCACCAAGATTCCTGACATGTTTTTATTTATTCTAAGCATTTTATGTGGTGGCGATAAAAGGAACCAACCATACACATAGGAGTAACATTTAGAACCAAACCCATGAGATGCCCCCCCCCCAGACATGTGAATTGCTTAAAGAGCCCTTATGACAACATTTATAGTATGCTGAATTGCAGAGCTTTTTTTGTCGTAGAATGCCCAGAACGGAGTTCCGGCACCTTTTTTGGATGGAACCTTGTAGGGTAGGCAAGGCAGGTTGTATGACATGTGTGAGTTCCGACACCTTGTTGTTGTTGTTTTTTAGAAAAAAAGCACTGCTGAATTGACCCTGAGTAGCAACAGGGGGAAGAATCAGTCATGAACCTGTGGTTCAGTAAACCAAATTGTTTCTATTCTCTGACCATATTTCAGAGGTACTATAGCTTAACATCCTAACCTAGTACGAAGGGGTCAATAATGAGGAGGTCACCCCGATAGGTTTATCAAAAACAGTCCGGTATTTGGGCCTGTATAATGAGACAGGTATGATCCCTCACTAATACATTAAATGTCCAGTTTTATTGCAGTGCTTACTGCACGCCATCCTTCTAAATTATTGATGTGAAGGCCGGAGGCTGCACTTCATCACAGAGCATTAAGAAGCTTACTTTTGCTCAGATCCTGTTACAGCAGTAATCCTCTTTCTGCTGAGTAATCTGGACATGAGGGGAAGGGCTGTGCCAAAGGAACAAGTTGCTTAAAGCACCCTTTCCCAACCTGGTGCCTTCTAGTATTCGGGAACTTCCCAGAAGTTAAGACAGGGATTAGCAGTATTTTTCAGGCTAAAGGACCCGCTTGGTTTTTGAATGGTATGCTGAAAGCCCCTTCCAAAAACTGTGAAGGACCAGGAGAAGGAATATGGTTACGACAAAAACTTAGGTTTGATTTGGTTTGAATATAGACAGACAGACAGATCTAATTATATATATATAAATTCAAGTAACATGATTGTTGGCTTAAGGCAGGGGTAGGCAACCTTGGCTCTTTTATGACTCGTGGACTTCAACTCCCAGAATTCCTGAGCCAGCACAGGTGGCTCAGGAATTCTGGGAGTTGAAGTCCACAAGTCATAAAAGAGCCAAGGTTGCCTACCCCTGGCTTAAGGCATAATACAAGTGTTAAAGTGTTAGCATTAAAAGTCTTAAATGGCTTAGAAACTGAACTGCCACAGAGTAAGGATTGCATTTGGCCACTAGTCTCTTTTGCCTCTGATAGCTGCTTTTTCCAATCCAATAAAAGAGAATATTTGTAGTTCAGGGTTGAAATGAGGGGGGTCCTTGGTGCTCACTGAGCTTGGTTGTTTTCTTGCAGACGTTTCATTACCCAAACTAGGTAACATCATCAGTGCTGTCAATGCTACCTAGTTACCTAGTTTGGGTAATGAAACATTTGCAAGAAAATGACTAAGCTCAGAGAGCACCAAGGACCTCCTTTTTTCCAGTCCTTTGAATGCTTCCACTTGTGGTGTTTGTAGGCTTTTATTTGAGGAATTCTTTCTTTTGTGGTAATAGTTGTGAGATGCCTTACACTGGAATAGAAAAAAAAAACAAGTTAAATGAATAAATAACATACATTTCGTATTCTCTCACCTCCCAAAACTTTGTGATGGCACTCCATGGTACCTCCGTAGGGATTGGGTACCCCAGATCAAAGGAAGCAGCCTAGGATTTATGGGGCACATTGAGCTTAAATCACCCTTTGAGAGGAAAAGGAGAGCAGAAATTTAAACCGATGCTTTATTAAACAATGCTAGTTAGTTTAGAAAGATTATTTTTAAGTGACACATTTTTGCAATATTAATTTGTGAATTCCTACTTTCAGCTGTTTTCGTCATCAAGAGCTCGGGGATACAGCTATATCTGTCAGTCTGTGGATTACTCAGATAATGAATATGAAGTTAGGGTGAGTAGCAATAATAATTATTTGTATATCAGTTAAATTATTTTTATAGGTTAATATTACTATGTCTGTTCCTGACCTTTAGTGAAAAACTATTTCAGCACATAGATATTGTAAGAGCTCTTGTAAGAGCTACGCTACATGTTACTTTCAAGAAGTTTTTACAAGTGTGTTTAAACTGATCACTTTATTTTAAAGAAACGTGTAGGACTTTTAAAGAATTGAGATTCTTCCCTTGTTTCCAGCCATATCTCCTCCCATTTCTCCCCTCCCCCTCAATTTAAAATTCAAAATTATGCTCCCTATCTTTTTCTATAAACTTCAAGTTGGTTTAAATACTATGTAAGAAATACTATGAAACAGGTAATGTCCTGCTTCTGGAATTATGTGTTTTTATGGTTTAGAAACAAATCATATCCCCTGTACTAACAAACTGCAAGTTAATGCGTGTAGTTTCAGAGGTATGTCATCTAAATATTATCAATTGGAAAAGTGGGAAATGTCTCTAATATAATTTATTTTGCAACCAAGTAACATTTTCTTATTATTGAAGGCAATTTGCATTAGCCAAGACAGACACTCCTTAACTTACATTAATTTAAGTTATCAATTTAGCAGCCATTCAAAATTACAACGGCACTAAAAAAAATGATTTACAACCAGTCCTCACATTTACGATTGTAGCAACATCCTCCTGGTCACGTGACCAAAAGTTGGGCACTTGACAACCAAGCATGCATTTACAATAGTTGCAGGGTTGCAGGGTTGTGTAATCGCCATTTGTGCCAACTGGTTTTCAACAAGCAAAGCCAATGGGGGAGGCCAGATTTGCTCAACCAGCGTGCCATTTGCTTAACAACTATGGCAAAAAAAGGGGCACAATACAGGTAATCCCTGATTTACGACCACAATTGAACCCAAAATTTATGTTGCTAAGCGAGACATTCGTTAAGTGAGTTTTGCCCCATTTTACGACCTTTCTTGCCCCAGTTGCTAAGGGAATCATTGCAGTTGTTGAGTAAGGGAATCTGGCTTCCCCATTGACTTTGCTTATCAGAAGGTCACAAAAGATGGTCACATGACCCTGGGATTCAGCAACCGTCATAAACACGAACCCTTTGGCAAGCCTCTGAATTTTGATCGTGGATATGCTGCAACGGTCGTAAGTGTGAGAAATAGTCCTAAGTCGCTTTTTTCAGTGCCGTTGTGACTTTGAACGGTCACTGAATGAATTGTTGTAAGTCGACTGACTTAATGGCTGCCTTGCTTAGCAATGGAAATTCTGGCTGAAAATCAAGGACTATCTATACCAGGGGTAGGCAACCTTGGCTCTTTTATGACTCGTGGACTTCAACTCCCAGAATTCCTGAGCCAGCTATGCCTACCAGCTATGCTGGCTCAGGAATTCTGGGAGTTGAAATCCACAAGTCATAAAAGAGCCAAGATTGCCTACCCCGATCTATACTATATTCTTACAGCTTTCCAGAACCCTTTGTTCCAATTAATGGAGACACACACTGATTTTTTTAGAATTTCATGGACTGTCTCTGATCTGAAGACATCTGAGATTATTCCTGAGAGCTATCACAAAGACACAGATTCAGATTCAGATTTAAATGCTAATCACATTTCATATCTTAACAATAAGATGCTGATAGCTTCAGCCAGTTTTCATTATACCATTGCAATTTCTCTTTAGGCTTATGATGAAAATGTGCTGAACCATGCAGGAACCACATATAGTTAACATGCTGAGTTACAGGCTGCCAGTGGGAATCAGGCCTTATAAGCACTGACATTTACAAAATAATCAGAGCAGTAGATATCAACAGCAGGCAACCTCATATTTTCAAAGGAAGTGAATGCACTTTTACTGGATGCATGAAAAGTGACTGTTCCAGTTTATTATGTGAGCAACAAAGTTGTAAGGATCCTAAAAGTTTATTTGTCTAAAATATTTTCAATATTGCCTTCTTTAAGGGTTTTCTTTTTTGAAAAATAGTTTATTTCCTTCCAGATATTAATGACAATCACAACTATTATCACTTCCGTACCAGTTGATAATATAATAGGGAGGAACTGTTTGAATTTGCCTTCAAGATATTTGCATGAGCCTTAATTCTAGATGTTAGTCTAGATAATGATAAAAATATGATCCAGTTTCACTCTTATATATATGTCTAAAGGCTTCTTCGGTTAATTTCATTGTGCCCATCAGTCCAAGCAAGTAATTCTGAAAAGATTGTTTATTGAGAATTGAAACAAATAGTGACTATGCTGTATACAATGGAAATTACACATGAACTAAAATTTTAGACACATATAAATGTGAGACTATTAATTTGGTGGCATTTGTTTTTATTCGATTTCTTAAATATTTTAGAGGCAGATAATACTAAAAGCTTGATGATAAGAAATGTTCTGTGATCAAGAATTCTCTCTCCTCAATGTTATTTTTAAATGTTGCATTTTTCTAGCCATCTGTCTTTTTAGAAACTAGATAAAAGATCCGTGGAGCAAAATTCTACCCCCCCCAAAAAATAGCTTTTTTTAAAAAAATCTGTACACTCCAGCATCTAGCCTTTAGTTAAATCTGCTACAGTAGCAGTAATAGCAGACTTTATAGCATCATCCCACCATCATTGTGACATTGTATCACTTCTGCAGTAGCTTAACAACATTATAAATTGCCAGTGCAAACAAGCTAGACTTTCAAAGAAGCGTTTTAAAAATATTTCAGTTACAAAATACCCCACACTAATATTCAATGCAATCTCTCTCTCTCTCTCTCTCTCTCTCTCTCTCTCTCTCTCTCTCTCTCTCTCTGTGTGTGTGTGTGTGTGTGTACTGTATACACACACACACACACACACACACACACACACACACATATATATATATATATATATATATATATATATGAATGTATTTTTAGAGAAAGAGAGAAACACAAATTTGATGTATCACACAAATTTGATACAAAGCATCATCACACCTATGTACATACATATGCATATTTATTTATTTATTTATTTATTTAATCCCATTTGTACCCCGCCCTTCTCCCGAGGGACTCAGGGCGGCTTACAGGTAAATAAAAACAGTACAATACAATAGATATCTCTAAAAGCCAAATTAAAATATATATTAAATAACCTGTATTAAGTTTAATATTATAAAATCCCTTTAAAATCCCTATAAAATCCCCCCCTAGGCCAATCCCGCTTGATGGAAAAGCCATGTCTTGAG